TTTAAATTAAAGGATTTAATGCTGGCAGGTAAAAAGTGACCATGGTGCGCAATTGATAATTATCACCGAATGAAATAATGTATAAATCTTAAACCAAAGGAAACTTAAATATTAGTTAAAAAATCGTGGGTACTTAAAAAATCAGATTTAATTTAATAACATAATTATTACCAAAAAAGTGATATTTTTATAGAAAAATTATTGCAGAATCGTATAAGAAGAAAAATCGAACAAAATTGATTTTTTTTCATTACAACGCCATCTATTACAAATATGAAAAAATGTTTTAGAAAAAATCTACCTATTTTTAGTCGAATGATCCGAATCTGCAATAAAAAATAGGGTGTTCCATTGGAAATTTTAAAGTTACCCCCTGTTCCCCCTATAAGGAGGAGAGTATGAGGACCAATTTTAGTACTGATTGATTTCCCCCCTCGAATCATTTAATTTTTATTTTAATAATTTTTTCGTAAAATGCATACTAACTGAGATATTTCTCACCCTGTATAGTGCCTTTTGTATTAATCTAAAAATAATCTTCCCTTACCCCTTTCTCTGCGATGTACTGCCCGCGAACCTTCTTGATTTAATCTAAGATTTAATCTAATAAAGGTTTTCCCACATTTGTAATTAATGTTATTAGGTCAATCATGATGAAAATGCATCACAAGCTATATGGATGTTGAAAAGCCGCTTTTACACTAAATTATTTAGGTAGAAATTGTTTTACATGTGTTTTTATTTTAAATGTTTCAACACTATTTTTAAATACTAAAAAATTTAACTTTACCAATTGAATCTAATTAATTTTATGAAGTCAACTTTAGTAAATAGAAGAAAATATTTTAAATTGATAAATTTTTAGTTAAAAAAATTTTACACCAATTAAATTTTAGTTAAACGACATTGGAAAAAATTGTTGCCTTTAAATTTAAAAAACCATCATCATTAAGGCTTAAAAAAGCATATTGTTTGTAGGTATTATTCTTGAGTTAACTTTCAAACATTTTAATCTAAAAAACGGACATTGACCTTGCGTTTGTTTCGCACAAAAATGTGCGAGTAAAACTCACGCACAAATCAAACAAACAAGCGAAAACCACAAAACGGCAACAGATAACGCGCGGTCGTCGTCGTCGTAGAGAAAATCTCGTTCCACGGCCTACCCTGACGTCACCGAACGTCAGCGTGACGTCACGCCCTATCGAGAGAACGCGCGCGCGCCCACGGCAAGGTTGCCAAGTGGTGCACGAACCGAGCAGCGCACGAAAACATCGAGATTATAGTCGCTAACAATAAGTCCAAGTCGTTTAAAAAATGATACGAGAGAAAGTCGCGGAGCTGGCAACAGCGCGTGGGAACCACTTGCCAATTATATGGGGATCGGATTTTTACGAGTTTGTAGGTGTCTAAGTTTATGACCTTGGCGGATTTTGTGTTAGATTTAGTATTAATAAAAAATTCAATACACAACAAAATGTTTTGTATACAATAAACACTAAAACAATATTTTAGCATAAAAGAGTATTTATTACCTTCTTATAAGAAGAAGTATAGTTCTCTTGAAAACAAATACAAAATCTCTTAGTGTTTTTGCTCAAAAGCTATGGAAATTATTCGTTCAAGATACATCATAATTATCCCAATAGCATGTCAATTTTCTAACAAAATCTGGTAGCTTCTGATACATGGGAGGGGATGCAAAACGCGCACACCGTTTGCGGCACACGTGTTTAGTACGTTTTGTATCATTGCAACTTGCGATTCGCCATTTTCTAGGGGCAGTGATTTAATATTATAATTCTATTATAGGTTTTTCTAGTATACATTTTGCCGGTTGTGTTGTGTTGTGGCGTACTTTCACAGTGGAGTTGGAATCATTAAAACTCTTTTTAAATAAATGAAATTTAATTAATTTGTTGAATGTTTTTGAAGGTAAGGTATCAATTAAAATATGCAATAAAAATGTTATGTTAAATCATATTTATGTTAGTTTATTAGTGTTGGTATAAAAAAACTTGCGCTTTTGTTGATATCAAACAATAAATGTCTTATTTTATTTAAATATTTTTTTTGTAAACTTATTTTTCAGAACTCCCCTCACTACGAAGGTCCTTGATTTTAATTGTTAAATGCATGTTTCAATAATTAAAATCAAAATAAAGCAATACATACTATTGGACCAAGAAATATTTGCTCTAAAATCAAAATAAAATGTGGTCAATAGTAGCAAGACAAATTTTCTTCCTTAGAAAGTTCCTAGGCTTTTCAATTAAGAGATGCAATTTTCTTGTTAAAATCCCATTTTTTGCGCTAAAAAACGCTTTCTTCATTCAAAAGAGAATTTTTGGTTCTTGTACCAAGAAATCGCTTGCTCTTGATTTAAGCTAATATTGTAATATCCTAAAACGAATAGATAAATTTCTCCCCTCAAGTTCTGATTTAGATTAAGATTTAGATTGGCCCTTTTCATTTCTTTCAAGAGAATTTTTTTTAGTGCAGGAAAAAGGAACAAGCTTCAAATGTAAAAAAAAACCTTCGCTCCTCACCTCGACAAATCAATGCGACGCCGCCCCCCCTTAAAAACTCCCCATTCTCGACCGCCCCCCTTCTTACAGTCAATATGCCGGCGGCGGCGGCAATGCTTATTTGCGCCACCGTTCGCTCGCTAGCGAGATAAAGACGTTGCTAGGGGTAACGGCGGCGGCGAAATACGTGTTGGACGTCCTTGAAAATAATGCAAAAAAGAGACGGCGGCCAGGCGGCGGTGCTTATGCGTTTTATCGCGCGTCACAGGAAGTTGAAATGATCTTCTTGAAAAACGCAAAGGTCCAAATGCTTCAACAAGATGCTCCTTTTTTCAGTTAGTTACAGTTAGTTAGTTACAAACGACCAAATTGGAGGAAACACTTTAACAGGGGACTGTTCTCTTCCTGTCTGTCTGAACACCTATAGGTAGAGATGCGACCTGAAAAAAAAACGGTCCGTTTTTTTTGTTTTTTTTCAGGTTTTTTTTCATTTTTTTTTCAAATGTTTTTTTTTTCACATTTTATGTTTTTTTCAAGATTAGTCCCATTTGCCTAATTTTTTATGTTTCCATGGACTAAAATTAGCCACTAAATGACAATTAGTAAATGTAAATACAGTCTCGCGATATGCACTCGCCAAACCACCGATATGACCAATAAGAGCCGCGCTTGTTTTGATTTGGTCCTAAAAAAAGTAACTACATATAATATTTTTGATTCAGCGCTTGATTTTTCAAAAAGCTACCAAAAGCAGTTTTTTCATGATTTTTCAAATTTATGTAGAGTATGGATTTTTTTTTCAAAAAAACAATAGCAAATTCTTGCAGAACATTTATTCATTGGTGGTTAAGTCAGAACATTCTGTGGACCAAAAAAAAAAGCAAAAAAAAATCGATTTTTTTTATTACGGTATTCGTTAGAAATCAGCGTTGCACGTTTTTCATCTAAAAATCTCAAAACTATAAACTTCAAGCTTCAAATTGCTTTTTTTACGGCTCCAATACGACCATTTTTAACAGCTATCCGAAAAATCGCAAAAAAAAATTTTATCCTTTAATTTTTTAGTCTTGGTCAAAATTTTCAAAATGAAAAATGTAATATATTCTACATTTTACTCAAAATTTCATTTTGAAAAAAAACAAAAAAACCGTTTTTTTACATCCCTACCTATAGGTAGGTACCTATAAGGAATCCGAATAACAATAATAACAGATTTCTGGTAATATTTTATAAAAACTCTTTTGTCCTTTTTGTACCAAACAAATTTCTTAATAATTTGATGAATGGTGTGTTATTTTTGTGTTCATTTATGTAGGTATGTGTTAATTTTTTTGTTAAGGTACCTAATTGATTAATAAAGCAACATTTTCAACAAATATTTTTGTCGCTGGGTGTACAAGAAGGTTTGTGTGACGATGATAAATATAATTCAATTTTCTTTTTTTCGTAGCGTGTATTTCTTATGAGTCTTTTGGCAGAATTTATGGTTTGTTGAGATGAAGTAACAAAGAAAAATCGCTGATAATGCGGAAGATATATTGGAAAGATTTCAGGAAGCAACAGGTTTTGTACAATAATCACAAATCTAATAAAAAATGCATTATTTTACTGACTATTTCCCTCGTCTTAATTTCCACCAATCACAAACGCGCAATTTTGAATTGCAAATGGTTTCTAGGTGAAAAAACTGTGTGACAGCACCTGTCAGCAGTTTATTCGAGTTTACCCGCGGCAAAACTTGACAGCTGTTGTCACCAAAAATTGCAATTTATATTTTAATTGTTAACTGTTACTCATGAAATAGTCTTGTCAAATACCATTCGGGCATCAAATTTTTCCTGTAAAAAAAATCGAAAAAACACAATGCTAAGTAATATTTTTTAACAAAATGCATTCGTGCAGGTGCAAAAATCCTCCTCTTCGACTCGGATTTTTGTTGCCACCAGCACTCATGCTTTTTGTTAAAATATTACTTAGCAACGTGTTTTTTCGATTCTTTTCGGAAAAATTAAATGCCCTTATGATATTACTTACGAAAATATAACAATTAAGTACATTGGGAATAAAATAGTTTCTGGATTAATTTTGAATTATTGTAATGTCATCATATTTCATTAATAATAATTTTCATCCAAATACAAATGACAATTCCTTTTGCACACGCAAAGGTCAATGGTATATGTAATAAATAAACACTGGCGCATGTGCCCTATACGAATCGATATCAATTTATTATAGTTATGAATGAAATGTGTAAAAACAACTTATTTAAGTTTTGACGTATTACTTGGGCGGTTATAAAGAAATCGGAACAAAAAAGTAGTGCTATGCTGTACACCTCTTCACCGGGCAAGCGATATCAGGATGAATTCGCCGCCTCCGCGTGACTATTGATCACAACCGCCGACGATGGCGGCGGTAGCATCGGCCGCCGCCACCGTGTAACGTAGTGCCACCGACACGCGGTCCCCTCTATCGACGACCATACCGCCCCGGGGGTGGCGATGGGGGTCTAAAGGGGGGCGGGCGGGGGGCGGCAGACGAACCGAACTCTGGAAACTGTACGGCGCGCGAGACTGGAGAAAATTAAAACGGAAAATTTGTTTTTTGTTGTTTTTTTTTAGTTGTTTGCCAAGATAATATCTTGTTTTTTGGTTCATTGACTTTACTTTTTAAATTTTATTTTTGTTCATGCACTTTGTTTAAATTCAAATACGTTTTCTCGGTATAAAAAAGCACTTTACGACTTTTCAAAATATCGTAAAATTTCCATAATCGATTTTTATTTGTCTAGAAGCAAACACGCTACCTAAATTTAGTATTTTGTTATATTATACGAACTAACCAATACTAAACATTTGACCAACCATTAATAATTAAAAAACCCCATCTAATGCAACATAACCTCAAATATTAAACCGTAGAAAGACATTCATTCTAAGCTAAATTTTTACTTCTCTGTTTACGTCGACGTGACGAAATTTTCTTTTACTCCGTCTCGTCATCTTAATAAAGAAGATTGCCTGTAAAAACGGATTGCCTCCTAAAAATTATTGCCCGCCCCCTCGTCGTAGTATTGCCCCCTTGCCGCGTCTGCTGCATGCAGACGTCCATTTAATTAGCAAGGGTTGCTCGAATACTTACGATTGATTAGAATACTGAGATGTTCTTACATCTCGCCTCGGTTGACTTAGGTGGAAAGTATATAAGCTCAGGTGTATGATTTTTTAATCTTAAAGGTTTAATAAATGCTTAGTAAATTTCAACAAACGTTTTGTAATTTTCCTAAATTGATTTGTAATGAATCGTTTACAAAACCGAGTTTTATTATTACTATATTGTAGGCGTAAAAACATGTTTAGTAAAATTACAATAGAAATTTGTAATAGTGCTGTTTTAAAAATCAGATTAGTAACATTTTAATATAATTTTTCGTAGAAAACCAGGTTTGTAATTATTTAAACAAAGACAAATATTTTACCTAAAGTTTTATAAAGGTAATATGCAATTTGTAAGCATTTTTACAGTAAGTGTGTAAGCAGCTTTAGAATATTTTTTTGAAAATGTGTTTTTTACACATTTAAAAAAAGGAAAACATAAAATAACCAAACTGGAAGACAATGCAAGATGAGGTGAGTGACGTCATACTAAATCCAATATGGCGGGCGATCCAAAATGGCGGATTTCTTCACAACCCTCTTGACATGGGTATCAAATGAAAGGGTTTGACAAGTAGAAAACGGTGAGGTGAGTGACGTCATACTTAATCCAATATGGCGGCCGACCCAAAATGGCGGATTAACCATTTTTTCACAACCTCCTTGTCATGGGTATCAAATGAAAGGGTTTTACAAGTAGAAAACGGTGAGGTGAGTGACGTCATACTTAATCCAATATGGCGGCCGACCCAAAATGGCGGATTACCTAATTAATCACAAACTACCTGACATGGGTATCAAATGAAAGGTTTTGACGAGTAGAAAACGATGAGGTCATACTAAATCCAATATGGCGGCCGACCCAAAATGGCGGATTAACCATGTAATCACAAACTACTTGACATGGGTATCAAATGAAAGGTTTTGACGAGTAGAATCCAATTAAGTACTGCTTTTAATTAGTTATCGATGTCAAACTTAACAAATCATAAAATTAACATTTTCGAGTTTTTACCTGGTATGTTGAGTTCGGGTGCGACCAGCTCGTTGAGGTCGGGCTCCTCGCCGTACCAGAATATCCACAGCTCCTTGGAGGCGGCCAGGCTGAGCGGCGGCGGTTGAGCGGGCGGCGGCAGCTCGTACATGTCGGCGGCGCGCGGCGTTGATACGCGCCGCCACACGCACAGAATATCGGCGGCGAGGCATCGCGAATAGCTGCGCAGCACCGGGTCGTCGAGCGGCTCGCTGAGGCCGCCACCGCCGCCGCCCCCGTGGTTGCCGCCGCCGCCGGCGCTCTGCTCGCTCCACACCAGCTTACGCCATTTTATGCCTGAGAGCTCAGTCTGAAAAAAAAATGAGTTAATTAATTTTTAAACTTTAGTGAGCATTGTGATTTGTATCTTGTATTTGGAGAATGCTTAGACTGTTACAAAAATCAGATTTGTTAACATGAGTTTGTAATTTTATGTTGTAAAATTTTAACATAATTTTTATAGAAAACCATGATTTGTATATAATTATTTTAACCAAAGTTAGAGATTATTTTGCTAATGTTTAATTTAATCATATATTATATTACGGAACTATGAATTTAATCGGTTAAACTAGGCTCAGTAGTTTTTTGTTTGGTTTTTCTTGGAAAACCGCGTAGCGGTCGAGGGGTTTTAATTTTTGTATATAAACTTTTGTATATATACGTCTGGATTATTTCTCGAATTAAAGGAAACTATTTGACAATTCATAAAATCTGACGTATGTGTCAAAATTTATAAATATTTTTTTAAAGAAAATTCCATTAATTATTAAGGTATGTAATAAGTAATAATTGATATTTCGTAAACTAGATAACTTATTTTTTATTGTTTTTTAAAAAATGTTTGTTGAAACTTGTAAATAACACCATAAAATCGTAAACAAAAATCCAATATGGAGGCTAAAATTTAATCGCTGTTAAATAGTTCTAGTGATTTAATCGCTTATTTAAACGAAATTTATTCGAAAATTCAAGGCTTTTGATTGGTTCATATTATAATGAGGGAAATAATCTAAAGTAAAGAATTTTTTCATGATGATTAAGATGAAATGATCAAAAGTGACATTTGACAGTTTATTAAAGTAAATATAGCAAAACTAAAAATAAAAAAATCCATTTTGCATTGTGCATGCACAAGGTTTTATTAGCTAACACAGCCAATCGAGCAAATTGTAACTTTTACAACCGTTTTTTTTTTCACTATAGATTTTGCATCGGCAAGGTTATGCGCTAGCATAATTTTTTACATATGCAACTCACTAATAACGACCTTCACCGTGACACACTCAATGGCGGAATTTTTCGCACCGAAATGTGGCAACAGAGCGACGACCCAAATAACCTTAAACGTTTCAGATGCCACTTAACAAAGCCGCTAACGCACGAGAAGATAATGCTCGGGCATTGTTGACAAACGCACGGGTGTCCACTGTCCAGGTGGAGATATGGCAACGCTGCGCGTAAATGCACAGCGTTTGTAAAACGTTATAAGAGAGGCATTTTATTCGAACATGCAAGTAAAATACAAGTCAAAAGCTTAAAACTAAATTGTATTATTTTACAATAAACATACCCACAGACAACTAAAATCAAGTTGTGGAATATGTCAATGATTTTTTTTTTGCTTTAAACTTACATAATTTATGCTTAACATTGACACACAAATAATAAGTTCTTGCGAATGAATCATTGCCATGAAGCAATTATTTCTGAACTATATATATATATTCGTTGTTGCGAGGTTTAAAAAGGGCTTGGTCTGTTTTGTGGGCGATATAGAGGAAATGGGATGTAAACAAACAATAAGTAAATATGAGACTTTACACTCACTGTTAAAAATGTTTGTAAAATATCTACATTTTTACTGCTTATAAGCAGTTGCATAGCAAAATTACAAAATGTTGTATTGTATTGCAATTTTAATTCGCATTTGTTGTAATATTACATTTTTTATAGCCAAAGTACTAACAGGTTCCAATTTTACAATGTTTTTGTTTTTGTCAGATACTTACAGTAATTTTACAATTCTGTATTGTAGAATTGAATTTGAAATTTTGTAAAATTTCAATACATATTCGGAATTTAATTTTACTAAGCCAATCAATAAAATTACTAACCAAAATTTGCTATTTGAATTACAATAAGTGTTTGAAAATATACAAATCATTATTTATTTTATACAACTTCTGTTTTCATTTTTACTATATATCATTTTAATCATTTACACTGTTAAAATTTTGTGTAAAATTACAATTATTTTGCAAAACAAAGGATGAGTAAAATTACAAATCAGTGTAAACCAATACAAAACTGTAATACAATTTGAATAATGTTCCAAGATATGTTGGGAAATCTACTAAGATAAGTTGTAATTTTATAAAAAAAACATATATGGCAACTTTTTTGGCACTCACGTGATCAACAAATGATGTTCGGACGTACACATTACCCAGCTGAATTTATTTATTCAATCAGGAAGAAGATATCGGTTGAAACAGGTGCGGGTAACGCGAATGTAATAATTGTTTGTCCGCTAAGTTACTCAAAAAAATAATAAAAATAAGGTAAGAAAAAATACTATTTTTCATGTTTATGTTTATTTTAGGGCACTAAAGCTCATTGAGAGTAATTAATGACTATAATGTGTTATTATTATTTTTTAAATATGGTTTTACAAAACTTTGTCCACTGCGTTACCGAGTCCACTATGTTACCTTATGGTAACGCAATGAAATTTAGGGTAACGCAATAGAATTTTTCGACAACAAAGTGGATATTTACCGTCGCTTTTATTAAAAGTAGTTTATGATTAACCAATTTAAAATTATTTGTAATTACAACTCATAATATAGATTACATCCAAGGAAAAATTCCACGCAATATAAAAGTACTAAAAGGGACCTTCACCAGCTTATAGTCAAAGAAAAAGGGTGTCTACAATTTAGAAATCTAAGTTAACTAACAATTGTTACTCTGCAAGTGAGCACCACTACAAGGGATTTTGTTTATGCATTACTCTAAAATCGTACCACCCTATATAGTTGTGATACCAGTCTATTTCGTTACTTTTTTTAGTTTTTGTTAAAAAAATACTTAAAATGATTTTTATACACTATCACTTGGTAATACGTGTTTATAAATTAGAGTTTAATTCACTAATACAGTGACTAAAAGAAAATATTAATGGTATTGTTTTTTAACAAAGAATCGGAATGGTTTCTTAACGAACATACATATTTAAAAAAAAGCATAGGTACAATTTTTAATAAAAAATAAAATAAGAAATTGGAGTAAAAAATTTGTGAACTAAGTACTTACATTTTATTTCAAATTATTTCTATAACAACTTTTTTTATTGAATTAAATTTTGGATTTCAAATTGGTAACACAGTACCATCATTCGTAAATTACTAAATATTTTTAGTGTGATTTGTTGTACAAAATAACAATATTTGTATTGTAATATTGCGAAACGAATTTTCTTCAGTTCAGTAAAATTGTAAAATACCTATATTTTGTAATTTTCTTAAACTGAGTTGAAATAACAAATATCTTTAGCCGTTCTCCAAAAACGTCTAACCATCGACCGTGATACACCCTGTATATATATTATAAATACAAACTACTAGTTAACAGTTGGTTGCTAACTTGACATAAAGTTATTTGGACCTGGATTAACATCTACAACAATGATTTTGGTAGTTTCGTAAAAGCATTTTGTATCGGTAGCATAGGCAACAAGTTGGAATAATATTTCCCCCCCAGCTTTTGGCTTCGTTTTCAACCGGTTCGCAGCAAGAGAGACCTGAGATTGCCGCCACTTTCTTGGCCCAGCTGATTGCTGAGTTTCGATGCGGTGCTCTGTTTGCACGATGATGCCGCTGCGTGTAATGGGCGACACACGACTCTATTATTACATGTTTTACATTAGTTTTGTTAGCTTGAAAAAATGTTTCTATTTCAACTAAATATCGGTATTGACTAAGGCAAGCTTATTATGGCTAATAGATACCAGTGAAAGTTTGCAATGTAGCAACAATTTATTTAAATCAAGTCACTTACATCGAGGGAAAAATATTTACGAATAAATGTCTCAACAGGCATAAAACAAATATTGATTTAACGTAGGTTTGTATAAGTTCAAGGCTATAAAACGATATTTGGACAAAATTACTCGAAAACAAGTTAATCTACCTACATTCGTACACTGGCATACAACGTATACCATAAGAAATAAAAAGTATAATTAAAAAAATGTTGCCTACATAAAATACCAAAATTAAATTACATAAAAATTTAATTGGTAGTTTAGGTAATCCACTGCGAAATGAAGTTCAACGAACTGATATAGTGTTGCATAAAACCGAAAAATATTTTTATTAAAATACCTAAACAAAAATCTATTTCCAAACGATACTAAGGGTGAAAAAATAAGTATATTCTTTTCGCATTAAATCTGATGAATTTTGAAAGAAAACATTCCAAATTATAATGTGCGACAAAAAAAAACTAGAAGAAACGGGTAAATTTTAAGTTAATTAGTCTTAAAATCTGTACTCAAGTGAACTGGCTGAATGACCATTGTGCCTCTAACTATTGGAAATACGAAAAAAAAAACTGTCAATCTGTCAACCGTTTTACCACGTTGAGATTTGAGATTATTTATCGTATACTATATTATAGTATTGGTGGATTGCGTCACAGTCCCGAAAAAATTGTTAATTATCACGTTATAAGTGTGTTTTCTTCTTACTTTGCCACTGTAACACCCGAAACAAAAAATCATGCAATTGTTTTATTATTACACCTTACAGATTGATTGGTGTAATAATATTTAGTAAAAGTAACGATATGGTGGTAATGATTAAAATACTAACTAATATCTGAGCATAAGACTAATTCGATATGTTTCTCTTGATTAAAAACTGTAACACCCGAAACGTTTCGGGTGTTACAACTTTTTTCATAGGTCGATATGTGTGTGTGAATTGCTTGATGAATGCAATAAGTATTATTTTTAAGGCTCTTTCGACGGCCCACTAGCGCCGCCATCGGAAAAGCAGTCACACCTCTTTTAAAGAGGTGTGACTGCTTTTCCGATGGTGTTGTCGAACCTACCGAAATTTCGGTATTTCTACCTAAATGGCAACGGACCTACCAAAATACTTAGATTTTCGTCAATAATTATGTTTCTACCGATTTTTGACAATAATAACGATTTTACCCGTTTTGCCGATTTATCAATCGCACCCGAAGCTGCGTAAGTTACGTTTAAGGAGA